CAGTATGGCCAATCTTAGCCACGTCACCGGAGGGGGGGGAAATGAAAATTGCTGTGCTCCTGCAAATCTCTATCTGCCAGGGTAAGGGGCAATTTTATTTAGCTGAAATAATCTCGACAGACGTCGGTGCAGGCCCCAAAATGAGCAATTCTCTTTGTAGCTGATGCCAAGAATCCTTGTCTAGGGGCTGGGGTGTAGCTTGTGTGATGGGTCTGGATCCTGCTGGCAGGTTGGAGAGGAGCTGGCTCAGCTGATACTGAATTGACTGTATTTCTTTGAATTAAGCAATTCTTGCATTGCCCTATGGCACCTTCTCTTAAGGGGCTTTAGAAGCTTTTTGAAAGGAACTTTAAAATGCGGATGAGGGAAGACTTTCACGCACCAGTGCTAGCCTGTGCAACTCACTGCTACGAGCCAGAAGCCAAGAGATTAGCGTTGATTGGCCAATAACTTGGGATCTTTTTATCCCAATAGCTACAGCTTTGGAAGATCTGGAAACCCTCCTACTGTGGGACATGAGCCCCAATCTCTAATGGGGGTCAGGAAGAGCTTTTCCTTGAGGGTAGATTAGCCCTGCAGGGTTCCTAGTGCTTTCCTCTGAAGCTGCTGGATAGGGGGCAGGATGAACCTTGCACTAGAAATTCCTACATTTAGAGAGAGACAGGCATTGCTTCTACCATGCCTGGCGCGGAACAGGGCAGAGCAGCATTACCCACGAGACTGAAACAGGGAATGGGGAGGGGATCTTTGCACCGGGACTGCAGGCAGCAGCTTTCCAGCGCTGGAGGAGGAGGAGCTGGCTGTTGCTCCCGAGGGTGCATGGTGCAAAGAGGAGGCAAGGAATTGTGTTTGCTGGCTTGTCCCCTGAGCGTTCACTTACAGCCTTGCGCCGCCAGAGGGAGACGAGCCGGGCCAGATGTGGTCTGCCGAGCAGAAACTTGGCAGGTGTGCTCAGAGAATCAATAGGGCTCTAGCCGGAGCAGCATGCTGGCACAGGCAGGGCTTTAATTCTTAGAGAGTATTTCCTGGAGCCCCCCATGCTCCTCCCCAACATGCTATAAAAACTCCATGGGGGTTGAAAATATTGACTGGAGCTCTGCTCCGGACAGCTCTGGCTGGATTTAAGCCCTGGGTGCAGGGGTGAATCACAGGAGCAGTGTTGGTTACTTAAACCACAGATGCTTTCATCAGTTGGAAAGTCGGCTTGTGCCTTGATTTGGCCAATGTCCACTTGGCAAAGCACTATAAGTCTTCTATCTAAGGAGTGGTTGCCTGCCCCTCCCCACACACACACACCTTCACAGCTGTGTGGTTGCTAAGCAATACAGGCTGGCAGCTAAGATGCTGTGAGCTACTGTTTTAAAAAAAAAAAAAAAAAGGTGCAAAGGGGAGACATGAATAGGCATTTTAGAAAATGGGAAAAGGCCAGTGTAGCACCAGGTGGAAGTGGAGGGACTTGTTAAACAGGATCTGACAGGCCCCTCTCACATACCCAGGGTGATTGGGGGGTGGAGGTGGGGCTGGTATCCGCCCTATTACACCTGTCAGTGTTCTTCACAACCCTGAGAAACTGATTAAAGCCCCTCCCCTGGGGCGTTAAAGAGGAGGTGGCATTAAAAACCACAGAGGTATTTTAAATCTCCTTAGCTATGTTACCACCATCACTTGCGATAGTGGCGCTAGGAGGAATTTCCAGTTGTATTTTACTTATTAACAATTCTGCTTGGGGGGTAAAACTAGGTGTCCAGATCCTATTTTCAAACGTGTCGGTCTTTGCCTACGCTGAAAAGCATTTGCCAGGATTGCCAAATTGCTTTAAGCTGTCCCAGGACACCCTCCTCACGGGGGAGCTGCTCTTACCATGCCAAAGAGTTCTTTTTGCTTAAACCAGTTCCCCAAATGGAGTACATCATACTGGCACTAGGACTTCCTTGCCAGCATAACTGCGGCTACACAAGGGCTTCCGCTGGCACAACTATGGTTACGGGGGGTGACTTTTTTCCCCACATAGCTATGCCAGTAAGGGTATGTCTGCACTGGAGCTGGCGGTGTGATTCGCAGCATGCGGAGACGTGCCCTGTGCTAGCTGTAATCTATCTAGTTCACTAAAAATAGCGGTGAGGACACAACGGTGCAGGGCTTCAGTGTGGGCTGCACAATCCCACCTGACCTCCCCCCCCCCATCTCCCCATCTTGTTTGTGCAGCCCCTGCTGCGTTTTCCTTACTGCTATTTATAGCGAGCGAGCGAGCTGGAGCGTGGCTAGCAGGAGAACGTATACGTGAGCTGCCAATCACATGCCTGGCTGCAGTGTAGGCATACTTGAAACAGTGACTTCAGTGAGACTTAAATCTGAGTGCCCAAGTCGCTTCTGAATATGTTGGTTCTTGTCTATTGACTAGTCAGTTTCTCTTTCTGGCTCTCCCGCTCTAGCACCTGTTCTGGTGCTTGGGCTGTAAACGCTGCAGGGCAAATTCTTTATCTAAACTGCACTTCCTTAGTAATTTGCCGTGTTGGTCGCAGGCTATGAGAGGGACAAGCTGGGGAAGGTGATCTATTTTACCGGACCAACTTCTGTTGGGGAAAGAGACGAGCTTTCGAGCTCCACGGAGGTCTTCAGATCTGGGCGCTCACTGTAAGCTTGAAAGCTTGTCTCTTTCACCAGCAGAAGCTGATCTAATAAAAGATATTCCCTCCCCCACCTTGTCACTTTTAGTTGACACTCGGGGGAAAAAAATCCCACCCGTTTCTATACAAATCAGGGTCAATAACCCTCTGCTTCTTTCAGTGTTTGTTCCTTTCAACTGAGCCTAACCTGCCTGAAATGTCAACTTGAAATTCTTCGTGGGTGAGGGGAGCTTTCCGGCACAGCCCTCTAAGTATGTCCAGTCTTTCCTCTGCAAAATTGGACTAGCAATGGAAGGCAGGTGTGGAAGGCTGCTACTTCGAGTCTTTTCGTTGGCTAATATCTGCAAGTGCCTAGTATTAGTACACCTCTACCTCGATATAACGCTGTCCTCGGGAGCCAAAAAATTTTACCGCGTTATAGGTGAAACCGCGTTATATCGAACTTGCTTTGATCCACCGGAGTGCGCAGCCCCCCCCGGAGCACTGCTTTACCGCGTTATATCCGAATTCGTGTTGTATCGGGTGGCGTTATATCAAGGTAGCGGTGTATTGTGTGTGTTATAGTGGTGGCTAGAGGTGCCAGCTGAGATCAAGACCCCAATGTGCTAGGTGAAGCACTGAATGAGACAGCTCCTGCCCTTTGCAGTTTAAACATCCGAGAAAGATATGCTGAGTTGGGCTGGGGGAGAAGTGCTGTCCTCATTTTGCCTAGGTCCAGAGACCCGGATTCTCAAAGTCATGGGTCTTGTGTACCTAAATACCTTTCGAGGATCTGGGCCAGAAAGATTTCAATGATGTAACTGAAAAGTCTGATTCAGAGCTAGAAATTCAGCTTTCCTGAATTGCAGACCAGGGTGCTAACTGTGAGAGCAGCCTGCCTTGTACCATAGCTGTGCGTGTGCAATGTAAAAGATGGGTTCCCCCTCCCCCCCAATGCAAGCCTGGGATTTTTTCCCCTCCATCTGCAGAACCAAAGGGAACAAGTTGGCAATTAGTTAAACTGAAAGAAGGGGGGGAGGGTATGAACCTACGAAGGAGAAAAGCTCCATCCTTCTGAAAAAGGAAAAGATAAAACAAACCCCGCTTCAAACTCCACAGACCTCGCTCTAGTATTTTTAAAATGTAACCGAGATCGGGTCCGTGAAATGCACGCGTCTCTCCAGCGGCCTGATTAAAGCCTCGCTTTGAAACAACACGGCCAGAATCTAGCGAGAGCGCAGGAGAAATCCAAGCTGGCAGACTGGATTTACGCTTCTCCTTAACAGCAGGCAGAACGGCATGGGGGGAAATAACTAGGCTTGTGTGGCCTTTTAGCTTCTAGGAATTGTAGTGCAGGCCATTGTTAGGTTATTAGAGGACTGCGAGGGGGCTAAGAATGGGGGCTTGTTTTATGGAAAGAGCCATTCAAAGCCTAACCCACTTAGAAATGCATGTTCGCACTGCCTACAGAACCTCAGTGCTTAGGACCAATACCTTAGCAGCTACCTACAGTCACCCCTGCCCCCCAGAATATTATAGGGATTTGTTAAAATGAATTTTGAAAAACAGGCAATTTTACATTTATTTCAAGACCCCCCCCCCTTGTTGCTCTTTCAGTAACTCTTGTCCTGGGCTCCTTTCCTAGTGGGAGCTGCTGTTTTACTGACCCTTCCCAGAAGGAGGTGCTGTCCCCAGCAGATGCTAGGCTGCCTGTCCACTGTGGTAAATGAAGCTTGCCCTTTACCCCATGGTAAAGCCTGGATCCTACAAACACTTATGCACATGCTTCATTTCCCCCTCCACACTTTAGGCGCTGAGAGGGGAAATCTCTGTCCGTGTTCGGCCCATAGCCTCGCTGATGGGGTTGCTGATGGCTGTGCTGATTCTGAGTGCTCCGAATGCTGTGGCTCCAGCCTGCTGCTTCTCTCCGAGCCCAGGGCGGGGGCCGTGGGAAGGGCCTGGTTCAAGTGCAGAGGATGGGTTACCGTCCTGAACTTCAAGCCTGGGAACAGCAGCCTTGGCGCTGCTTGCCTGTCTGACGGTGAAGCACACGTGCACTGGGCTGAGCTGGGTGAAACTCGCAACCTGTGCACAGGCCAGGCTCCAGGAACCGCTCACAGCCCCGGGGAGGTTTCAGATCTCAGCAGTCCAGGCAGCAGCTGCTTCTTGGTTAATTCACCTCCCATCCGTATGGGAGAGACTTTTCTTAGCGACATGCTCTGTGTTGTGGCGATTGGGGTCCCCTTCCTTGACAGGAGCAAATCCCCATCTACGCCCCTTCCCCAGGGAGCAGCCTGATCCCTTAGACTCTAGTAGCTGGAGCTTTGCCTAGTTCTAAAGGATCCACCCCATGCTTTGGAGGAGGCTTATTCCAGGTGGAAGAGATCTCGCTGGGCCCCAGGGCGCTGGAACAGTCCGTGAGCTGTCCCGGGGCCATTGCCTCTGGGGGGAGGGACTTGGGGAAGGCCCCTCCCACTCCCAAGGATCTGCTGGGGGAAGGAGCGGTCTTCTCCGCAGAGCCGGAAGCCCATCCTGTCCACTGCTGCTCCCTCCCGCCAGCAGGGCTGCAGGCCCCCAGAGGCCATTGGGGAGCAGCTGCAGAGGGAAGGAAGACAGCTGGGAGCTGCGTTTTCCAAGGCGCTCGGTGAGTGGCCCTGCCAGCTGCCCGGCTGGATTGTGGGGAACGTCGTACTTCAGGGTGGCCGTGTGGCTCGGGAAGGGATATGGAGGGTTGCACCAGGCTGGGTGCATTGTGGGTGGTGGCAACAAGATGGCTGCATTCACCAGCTGAGCAAGGACCCTTTCCAGGCGGCTTCTCTCTGGCTCTGCAGGTGCCCTGAGGGGCTAGAACTCAGCTGAGGAAATGGCCATTGGTCTCTTCCCAGCAAACCGTGCCCAGACCTCAAGAGTGGGTCTGAATGGTGGGGGGTGTAGGCACCTTCGGGGGTTTGACTGACCCCACTGATCTCTCCTGACCTTACTGCCAGCCGTGGCTGTACTGGGTACCTGTCCCAGAGCACAGCCTCCCCTGCGGCCTTGGGCCGGCTGCTGTCCCTCACGCTGGTGTGTCAATCAGGAGTGACTCCACTACAGCCGAAGGGGTGACGCTGGTGTAGGGTCGAGCAGGGCCGGGCTCCCTTGTCCCTGGGAACTGCTCTGTGCAGGGCAGTTTGGAATCCGCCGAGCTCTCGCCCTGATGCTCATGGGGGGTGAAGCCAACAGTGGGCTGAGTGCTCCGGCTCTCCCCACGCCTCTGTGGCCGGTGGGGAACGGGGCGCAGTGATGCTGGCTTCCCTCCAGGTGCCTCTTCATGCCTGTCTCGGTGGACGGGGGAGCCCAGTTCTAGTGGCTTGGCTGGCCTCGGCCCCTCTGCCCAGTCCCAATCTGTTCCACTTGTGATGGCAGGATAGCACTGAGACCTGCCAGCTTATTCCACCCCAGAGCGTCGCCCCAGTTCCCTCGGGTGGGCACGACTCAACCTGGGGCACTCGCCATCTGAGGAGCAAACCCAGCCACGGGACTTGTTGAAGCTGCTTGATGGCCATGTGGGCTGGAAGGGGTTAACCAATTCCCCGCTTCCCATTGGGCGAAGGGGATTTCACTTGTTCCTCCAACCAATCGTCCCCCTTCCCTGCAGCAGCTGCTGTCTCATGACTGGCTCCGTCTCCTGGAAGGTGGCTCTGCTCTCGAAGCCATAAAGAAAAGGAGCAGAGACGCGGCAGCAGTGCAGGGAGCTCCAGCTGCTGGGAGCCAAGGCAGAGAGGGGGCAGCTGTACCCCCTGCCCCGCGCTCAGCCAGGGAAAATGAGCTGCCCGTCCACCCAGAGCGGGGAGCAGATCGAGCCGCTCAGGTACCTCAGGTGAGTGGAGCTGCAGGTGGGAGAGCAGCTTGGCTACAGGGGAAGGGTCTCGTGCTAGCTGGTGCTCCGGTCACTGTGGGACCAGAGGGTGCCCCAGTGGGAGCCCATGGGAGGGGGCAGGACCCCCAGGCAGTTGGGAGCCTGCAGCTCCATCGCTGATGCAGAGCGGATTAGGGTGGGCAGGGAAAGTTTCTGCACGAGCAGGGGTGGCTGGAGCAGGTGCCCATGCTGCTGGAGGGCTGCCCGCACCCCTTTCTTGCGACCGCTGAGCTTGGGTTAGGAAGCTGAATTCCCCTTTGGTTCTGCAGGGCATGGGAGGCTGGATGTGGGCAGAGTGGGCGCAGCCTGGGCTAGCTTGCCAGGGAGCGGGCAGGGCACAGCAGAGTTGCTGACCCAAAGAGGGGTTGGAGCCCTAGGGATGTTGGAGGGTTTGTTCCTGGACAGAGAATAGAAAGTGCCACCCTCTGCCCTGATTTCTATGCCACAGCTGGTCTTGGGCATGGGCAGGGAATGGCCTTGCCGCAGCCCTGCTACCCTGCCCACTAGAGCCCCCCCTGCCATGCCCCCAGGCACTGGTGTGAGGTGCAAGCCAGTGCTGGATCTCTTCCTACAGCATCTTCTATTCAAAAGTGCTGGCAGACACTCTCCTCTGAGCCACCTGCTGTGTCCCTGCCCTTCGCCCCGGGCACTCGGGAAGCAGAGAGGCACTAAGCCGTGGGCGTGCTGAGCTATTTTGGGTTCCACAGGGGAGGGAGGGCTGCCTCGGTCCATGACCGTGCGCCCGTCCTGGCCCTGGCTGAGGCGCGACGGCTGACGCTGGCGGCTGTTTCTGAGCACACCCTTTCCCTGTTGTCACCACTCCCTTGATGAGCTGGTCAGCGGGTGCTGGCGGCGTATGAGCTGTGCTGTTCTCGGGCGCTAGCTCTCGGCTGGTCTGAGGGCAGACGGCGCCAGTTCCGAGCACTCCCCTGTCTCTTGTGCCAATGAGCCCCGTGGGTACTTCGGTAGCTGGAACGAGCAATTCCCACAGCTGACAGGTCCCGGGGCTGGCATGGAATCTTAATCGGCTGCACCCACTGGGGCACCGAGCTGCCACCTTTAGCAGCGGTTTTTGTCCCTTGTCTCTGGCGCACAGGAGGTGTGGTGGCTCAGCAGGGCTGCGGGAGGTGTCCAGAGCACTGGGATGGTCTGGATTAGTGCAGTCGCTGTGATCTCATTGGGGAGCCCAGGGAGCGGTACCAGGGCCAAGGAGAGAAGAAACTTCCATTCTCAGTCCCTGGCAGGAGGATTGGCCGGGCCCCTCCACATTCGAGCAGAGGGGCGGCATGGAGGAAGCACGAGGTACAGCCCACAGCCTCTGGGGGCGTCACCCAGCCCTGCCCCCACGTACAGCAGGGCTGTCAGCTACTCGGGCCTCCCGGCCCTTCTAGGGACGCCTCTCTCGGGAAGGAGAGAGAAATCGTGTGGCACTTGTATCAGGGACACAACGATGCACCTCAGCCTTCATGCTGACGGGACAAGCTGACGAGAGCTGTTCCCCATGGCCCCCCCACAGGCTGACCTGGAATGGGGCACACCCCAGAGCATCATCTCAAAGCCAGGATTACCGGGATGGGCCAGCTGGCATCTCCCTGCCCTGTGGGAGGACCCACCTGCCAAGCACCCCTGGAAATGGGACCTTGAGCCTGCCCTCTTCCACTCCCAGCTCCTGGGAGCCGAGTTGTCCTGGAGCTGGAATATCCCCAGCTGGGCCAGGGCCCTGCTTAGGGTGGCTCCTGCAGGCTGGCCCGGGGCAGGTTGGGGGACCTGCTGTGTGCTGGGGGTCATGCCCCATCTGGGCTCATGTAGCAGGAGCTAAGAGACATCGCTGTCCCGGCTCTAGACAGGTCTCTGCCCCCACTGGGCCTGTTCTGTCTGCTGGGGTGGGGCAGCTTCCTCCTGAGAGGGGCCCTGAACACTGCTCCATCCACCCAGGCCAGTGGCTCCTGAATGGCCCGGGGCCAGGTGCTCAGGAGGAAGGTGACCTCCCCCTACAGAGGCTGCAGCTTGGGGAGAAGAATCCGGTGTCCCTGCAGCAGGTGGGGTTGGGGGGAGCGCTGGCTGCGTCCTCTCCAGACATGGCTGCACAGGGAGGGTTGAACTGGCCAAGCCCTTGTGAGTGGGGTGGCAGGGACGAGGACCTGGGAACCCTCGTCAGGGTGAGCTCAGCCAGCGGGGGCAGGTGGCACCCTGGGGCAGGGGGGTGTTTCCGTGGTGCTAGCAGCACAGAACAAGTGAGAGGAGATGCGGAAAGGGTGGAGGCAGAGTGGCCTAGTGGCAAGGGCTGCTGGCCTGGGGCTCGGGAGCCTGGGGTTCTAGTCCCAGTTCTGTTACTGATCTGTTGGGTGACCCTGAGCATGTCCCCGCCGCTCCTGGTGCCTCAGTTTCCCCTCCCACTCTTTCTTTTCAGACGGTGAGCTCTTTGGGGCAGAGCCTGCTGCTCACGGTCTGTGCAGCGCCTGGCATGGCAGGGCCCTGATCTCAGCTGGGGCGACTGTAATACACATACTAGATAGCAGCCTAGGCTGATGGCACATAGGGCCTTCCCGGCAGTCTCCAGCCACCTGCTCCATCTGTCTTGGCATCAGTCTGCTCCATCAGCTGCTAACTGGTGCTTCCGAAGAATGCAGCTTCCCCCCCATAGTGCTGCATCTCAGCCTGCACAGAGCTGCGGCCAGCGAGGGTTGTGATGGTACGAACTTCACCGCACATCCCCTCGCCAGCCGTTAGCCGCCTCGCATGGATTCCAGGGAGCACTGAGTGCTGGTGGCACCTTCTCTCCTCTGGGCCCCCAGGGCTGCTTCTTCCTTGGTTGATGGGCCTGTGCTGGCCTTGCTAGTGGATGGAACAGCTCCGGGAACTGTCCAAGGTACAGAGGGAGTTTGCGGGGAGCCACGGCGGATGCAGAGCCGGGCAGCAGCCATTTGCAGATGCCCTGCTCCTGCTGTGGGCATGATCGGGTGCAAAGGTCCCTTTGGTGCCAGGTTGGGGGCCCCTCCTGGTGGTACTGGGCTCCTGGCTGAGGTACGTCGGGGCTGAGCAGGCCCCTGGCAGGTGCAGTGCAGGGGCAAGTCTCTCCCCACACATCAGGGCTTCTCCAGGCGTGAGCACATGGCGACCCAGCCTGGGGCGATGATATAATGAGCATCTTCAGCAGTCGCTCCCGCTCCTTGCAGCTCTGTTCTCCTGAGGCCCCTGGCACCAGGTCATTGGCATGGTAGAGCTGTGTGATTAATCAGGCTGGATCTAATCAACAGGCCCAGGTCATAATTACCATGTGTTCTTGGGCGCCCTCTCTGCTCTGTGCCGAGTGGAAATGTCTGCATTATACACAAAGCTCTTTGCCAGCCTCCTGGGAGTGCAAGAGTAGGGAGCTCTAGGTTGGGAATGGGGTCCCCAGAGTGGGGATGGTGGGGGCTGTGGGTCAGGATTGAAGAGCCATTTAATGCTGTTAGTGGTGTGAGAGGCTTAGGCCAGGTCCGTGCTAGGGAAGATTGGCTGGAGCAGTTATTTCAGCAGAGCTATACCAGCACATTCTCCTGGGCGGGGGCTTTTGTACCAGTTCCCTGAGCAAAATAAGCGATCCTTGTAAACGTACTTGTGGGTGGGGCTCACTGTGGCTGCACTGGGGCTCTTGCCGGGTTAGAAATGTCACCAGTCAGCCCCCTAAGCAACCGTGCTACCCCAGCAAAAGTGTCTAGTCTTGGTCCAGCCCAAGGTTTGGGGGGCTGGACCCCTAGGGGTTTTGCAGAGATGCTGGCTGCTGAGCCGGGAGCTCCAGCCAAGGGTGACCATGTGGGACGTGGAAGGTTCTGGCTGGAGACCGAATCCTTGATTGCTCACTGAACCAGGGGGCTGGGCCAGCGTCCGCCCAGCTCCCCCTGTCTGAGTCAAGGCCTGGGCACCTTGCTGGACCTCTGTCCTGAGCACAGGCTGGGAAGCAGCCCCTAGCCCCCATCTGTGCCGGGGGTAAGGGACAAGGGTGACTCCATGTGGGAGCTTCTAGGCAGCTTGGCGCTGCTGCGCCGGAGGCGGTGCAGCTTCCCGGATAATTGCAATGTGTTTAGCTGTAATTACAAAATTAAAAAGCGATTGAGGGAAGATGGATGGCTGTGAAGGGGAGTTCGCTGTGAAAGGCAAACCCGGGCTTAGCTGAAAGAGAAACCTGCCTGTGGCTACTGCTGGGAGCTGAGGCATTCGGAGGCCTGGGGCTGCGGCTCAGGATTGAGGGTTATCTGCCTCACCCTCGATCCTGGCGCCTGCCCCCGGTGCCCTCCCGCGGTGTTACTTCTGTTCTGGTCAGTGAGCCACCAGTGAGGGGTGGGGCAGAAGTGGGAATGGATTTTTTTTTGTGGGGGCTGGTGTCACGGAGTGTGGGGGGACACAAGGCCCTGCACCCCCGGCTTCCTGCGATTCACCATGACTCTCAGCCAGCCAGTAAAGCAGAAGGTTTATTTAGACGACAGGAACACAGTCCAAGACAGGTCTTGCAGGCAAAGACAACAGGACCCCCTCAGTTAGGTCCATCTTGGGCTCCCAGGGCGCCCCAGCCCCCTTGGGAGGTCAGAGCCCTGTCTGCCTCCCAGCCAGCTCACTAGCCAGCTCCTGAAAAAACTCCCCCTTCAGCGACCCCTCCCACAGCCTTTGTTCAGTTTCCCAGGCAAAGGTGTCACCTGGCCTCTAACCCCTTCCTGGGTTCTCACGTTATATGCTCAGGTATTCTCCGTCGGTCAGTCTCCCATCCCCCAATGCAGACTATCCTAGCCACACTCCCCTGTCAGCATTCAAAGCCCACAGTAAGAACAGTCCCAGTTCGTCACAGGGGGGACTGCTGAGACAGCTGGGGTGTGGCTGCCAGAACCATCCCTGCAGATGAACTGGAAGCTGGTGTGGGTATCCCCGCCGGAGTCATTCGTCAGCTCTTGAGCCGCCTTCAGCTGCCAGTCATGGAGCTGCTTCAA